ATGTCCACATCACTATCTTCTTCTTCAACGGGGAATTCACCTTGATCCTTAGTCCTTAACTTAACGCGCTTTCCTGGTCGTCCAAACTCCATTTTTCCTCGCTTGTAGTCAGTCGTGATAGGTCCAAGCGTTTCCAGCCACTATACTCCTAGCACAATATCGGTCGCCTTAAGTGGTAAGGCATAAAGATCAATCTCCAGCTCGTGATCCTGCGCCATTATCGGGACCTTCTTGAATAATTGACTTCCTTGTAGCTCGTGTCCATTGGCCACCTTGACACCAAACCTCTTGACCTTTGTGGGTACTAACTTCAGCTTTTGGGCTATCCTTTCGTCGATGAAATTCAAACTCGACCCACTGTCCACCAGAACCTCTAACAACATATCCTTTATCTCAGCCGTGAATTTGATCATCTTAGGACCACGCTTGTTGCACTTCACCATATGCAACCAAGACTCTTCCTGCGGCTTTTCTTCCTCTCGTTCCTCCTCAATTTCCAACACAAAAATTTCCTTACCCTTGCACTTGTGGCCTGGCGCAAATTTCTCGTTGCAAGTAAAGCACAAGCCTTTTTCTCTTCGCCTTTGTATCTCATCCTCCGTCAGCCGTCGGTAGTTGCTAGTGGTGCGTGTACCGTCGCCGACTGTTGGCTTGACCTCGGCCCGTGGGGGCGTATCGTCGACCGCGACGTTCGCGCGCCGAACGTCCGTGCGCCCTTCGCTCGGTCTGTCCTTGCGCACTGCCGCGAGATGATCCTCGTGCAGTCGCGCTGCTTCCATGGCCGCCCTTGTCGACCTTGGCCTGTCCAACCGTACTTCCGCAGCCAACTCAGCCTTTAAGCCTCCTACAAACGCACCTACTAGTGCCTTTTCGGGCCAATCCCGAACTCGGCTTGCTATCCTCTCAAACTCCTTTTGGTAATCGCGTAGACTACCGGTTTGGCGGATCCTTGTCAGCGCCTCATCATAATCAAAGTATTCGCTCGATCCAAACCTGACAATCAGCTCCTTCTCAAAATCTCGCCATTTGATTTGCTCGCCTTTATTTTTATAAACATGTGACACCCATTGCCACCATGTGTTGGCCTCCCCATCCAAGTAGTAGGGAGCAATTCGAACTCTTTCAGATTTGTGTACCTCATTGATCTCGAAAAATTGTACGGCACGACTTAACCATGCATCCGGATCTACTCCTTCGAACGTTGGCATCGTTATCTTCGGTTTCGCACTTACGTGCTCCTCGCGATGATGCCGACGGCCATGCGTCCTGCGATCGCCGTGGTGTCGGGTAGTGCGCGTTGCGCGCGTCTCCCACGACCGTTCGTCGTCGTCATCGCGACTAGACGCCGAACTGCCCGTTCCTGCCATGGTTGATCTCGATGTGCGGCTCCTCCGCGTATGGTGGTTGACTCTCTCGAGCTGCCCCGCCAAGTCGTGTATCATCAGCTCCAACTTTGCCATGTTTTCATTGAC